GAACCTGGCTTGCATGCTCGAACCAAGCGGGGTGACAACTCTGTGTTGAGACGGACTGGCCGCATCGGGAGCGTGGAGAGAGAGAGAGAGAGAGAGAGAGAGAGAGAGAGAGAGAGAGAGAGAGAGAGAGAGAGAGAGAGAGCAATTGTGTGGGTGTGGGATAATGTTCTTTTCATTGTTCCTTTCTTTTCCTCTGTCATCTGCATAATTTTGGATCCGGATGTGGTCGATTTTATCACGGCCTCCTTTTTGGACTTCTTTTGTAAATCGTCTCGGATTTTCCTTGTCGTTTGTATCTTGTAGGTATGCATGGAGTGAATGTGAGTCCTTTGTTTTTTAGCGATCTTTTCAGATGTTCAATCTTGTTTTGAGATGTCTGTCCCGACTCTGTCTACTGCTCACACTCATATATAATTAAAAGCGCTCGATTATTGATGTTTTTGTTTAGTCGTTAACTTTCAAAGAGTGCTATAAGAAGTTAACAATCCTTTCATTTTTTTCTTCCTTTTTGTCACATGTATGATCTGTAATGATCGAATCTCACCCGACACCGCAGGGATAGGACATATATATGCATGTTGAATGTGATCGACGCGCTGAACCAACCCGCTGTTTCTCACGTACACGCTCGCGTACGACCACGACCTCGAGGAAACCGAGTCGTTACGTACGCGCTCGCCTGCGTGAGCCAGCCTGGAACTCCGCACAAGGATGAAGGGGACCGAGCTTTCTAAACGGATATGGCTGCAGAATTTCCCTCTTGGATGTCCGGTCGTGAGAGTCTGAGTGACCCTGAATACCACGAATATTTGGAAGGTGAACAACTCGGACTGCGGGGGAACTTAAGAAATCCGGCATTCCCCTGTCTGAGAGAGAGCGATCGATTGTGTACGGGGGACTTTCACTGTGCCATAACTAACGATCCTAGGGGCCCCAATTACCAGGATACTTATAACACACAGTATTTCATATCCCCCAGTTTCATCGTTCTTACTACCAATTTCCCTCCCTTCCACCTCGGAGTCCTCCTTCCATATCACCAACTCACGGTGGTGTCATGGAATTCCATAGCCCGCTATTGGCCCCGCATACCGTGCGAAAAGTGTCGGTGGCACCAGGCAATCAAGCCTCGGCATACGCTCGGCGAACCCGCATTGAAGTCGAGGGGCGCCGACAATTGGTCAAACCGCGCAACCAACCACGAAGGCGAAACCAGAGGAGATGGTGATTCTCATTTATTTTAAGTTTGAAAATTAAGTTCGTTGGCAGGGGCAGTGTTGTTGGGATTTTGCTCAAGAATGCAGAGTGTTTAGATATGTCGGTACTGTGATTGTGAAAAAGTGCCCCGAATCTTTAGTCCGAGATGCGCTACGCATGCTATTTGCCTTATGCTGCACGACATCAACAGCTTCCTTTCTCTGCACACCCTCTTTGCACCTATACCCCTGAAACCTGCCACAGGAGATCTCAGTGTCGACCTGGGACTCCACCCCTACTTTCCTAAAATCCTTGGCACACCTTTTTTTCGCACTTTCGGGCCCCCATCCCACTCCGATCAGGAAGTCGCGCTGGGCGTGAGGTTGGTATCGCAACTGACACGTGGCAAAACCAGAACCCGACGCCTAACCCGGCTCCGCGGCCTCGAGCACCCATGGATCCACCGGATCTGTATCTTTTTTATCCTGCAGATCACTTAGCCGGAGCGTGGTTAGCTACCTTACGAGCACAACAGTACGACAACGACGAAGCTCGGATCAACATCCCCGCCAGATTAGTAGGGGATGCGGACCATTGGTTTAGCACTTTTGTTTGAGTAGACCTCCCAATTTTTGAACGGGATTTTTTTAACCGATTTGACTACACTCATCCGGAGTAAGCTTTGTTCATGATCAAAGATCGAGTACAAAAGTCACTCGAGTCTGTCACAGAATACTGAAACCAATTTTATAGGATGTTTGTCAAAATTGTGCGAGGGGAACAAGTCGGGAGGGATCTATTCATCGATGGGCTTCAATAGAAAAATTCCCACGAGAAATGAAAGTTGAAAAAACATTCCATAAAAGAAAAATCCTTCATATTTATAAATTATCATTCAAATGTTCGTCCAATTCTAAAATTTCCAGTTTTATATGATAAGTTCCCGTCTAAATATGAGTTTTCCCTTCCAACTACATCTATTTGTTCAAGATGGAATGAAAGTCTGGACGAGTTTATGAAATGTTTTAATTAAATTTTCATTCTACTACAACAAATATCTTCTAATTTAGATTGGATAAACCTATTTATGACTGAAAATCGTTACTTAGAATGACAGTCCAATTAAAATATTTCATGAACCCATCTAGGTTTTCATTACATCTCTAGCGTGCAGTTCAAAAAAGAAGGGATACCCTATTCCTGGAATGAAAGTTTGCAAGTAAGATAAAAAATTTTAAAATTGGAATGACATTTTTTAAGATGGAATGAAAATTTAAAATTTTGATTGTAATTTTACTCTATAACGATTATTCTATTCTGGGAAATTTTTCTGCTGTTTGCAGCTGGACCATCAGGGCGAAATTGCGAAAATAGTTCTCCCCGATCAATCATACTCTGCAGCAGATTATGTCTGCAGTAGAAGAAATGGAGTAGAAATTCTTAGCCAGCTTCCTAGAAGGGGAAAATTATCCTAGAGAGGCAGACTCCTCCGAGCTAGCTAGAGCACGGGCCGAGTTGGCCGCGCTTCAGAATAAATTCAAAAACATGGGTTTTGTCTCTGGTCCCTTTACTTATTTGGAACATATCGTAACAAAGAAGTCTGGGGCAGATGTAACCATGGGTTTGTCAATGCCTACGATGGCTGCTCCTGTACCTGTCGTACCTGTTCTTGCACCCCCTCCCGATACAACGAGCAGGGGCGGTGAGCCAAACACAATGTTAGGACTAACCCGGACTTTGATCAGTCTAATACAGGAAAGCAAAAAGGAAAAACGAGAGTTTAACGCTCGGATGAAATCCTTGATTTGATCGATGCGCCCTATTGCTGTTAGGGCTGCCCCTATGGCACAAGGTACCGCTCCCGTTCCACCAGTGGAAGGGATGGCAGTCAATCTGAGTGTTTGCTACACGTGTCATCAGCCGGGCCATATCACCCGGGACCGTCCACATTGGTCTGCGCAAGCCCGAGTTGGGGTTGCTCCTGTGGCCGCTGCGTCATTGGCCAACAGTCCAGGAAGAGTAGGAACGATGCTTGAAGAAATAGAAGGCGGGGGAAGCACGATAGCTATTACGGAGGAAGCAGCGAAACTTATCCCGCTCGATCAATATATCGCCTTAGGATATCCAGGGTTAGGGATGATCAGAACCATCCGACCGACGGATGAGCGGAAGGACGTGGCCGAATGAAGACCTTCCCCCAACGAAATAGAGTCAGGCGGTCCTTCCTTCGTAACAGGGGAAATCGATGTTTTGAACATGGTTTAGGCCTTAGACCACCAGATTCCATTACCAATTGGTCATTTGTTGTCTATATCCGAATAGACTAATGAACGCATGTTACAGCATTGCAAGGCAAACATAATTTAAACGGTTCGCTCTTAGCAAACTAACAATGACGAAAGGGAAGACCCCAGCTCCCAATGACAAGCTCGAAAAGCCCAGCACATGAGACCCAATACGGATGGGACTAATTCAAAAGGACGATCATTTTTTATGCATTAAAGCCATTCCGTGGAAATCTGTGGAATGTGACATCGAAGAGTGGGAAGCCCTGTACAGTGCTGTCATCGACTCAAGAGCAGCTGTGTTGGTCATATCATTGAGGGTTGTGGAGAAGGTGGGGCGATGAAAAGATCTGATCATGTTAACTGATAAAGACCATCTCGTCCCGGCGAATGAAGAAAAGATAAAAGCAGTAGGTCGAATGACAAATGTTGTTTTTCAGTTGGGAAAGATTCATGCTTTAGGAGATATGGTAGCATTGGTTCTTAATACCTACAATGTACTTCTGGGATTACCGGCGCTCGTCGCACTACGGGTCAATCTGGATTTCGAACGGCGATCGGTAATCCTGCGAAGTACAGGCGTGAAACCGTATGTTATTTCAATGCAGCCATCAGGAAAGAAACGACGCAAAAAGACCAAGAAGCAAGGACACCGATGCAATTTCCCTTTGATCCTGATCTCCCATAATTGGCCCAACCTTCCCATCTTAGGACCCCTCATTGTCATCGCGCAAAAGATCGCGCGAAACAGAAATTGGTTCGTCATCTAGGGGGTTCCAATCTTAAGTAAGTTGCTGCTTGCTTTAAATCGTGACACGTGTCGATCTCTCTAATCAATCGACACGCGAAGCTTTCAACGTGGCCACCAACCGTGCAAAAGTGTGTGGAAGTCATTCAGGGTGGTACACGTGGCTCCATCTTACAATTTTCTCATGATGGCTTTCTTCAGTCCGAGGACTCCGAGGGGATCGTGCGTGTCGTCACCGTGGCACGTGCCAATCAACCATACATCAATATCCTAAGGGAAGGGGAAAGGGAAGACGATACATTGGGGCGTGGCGAGGGGTTGGGTTAGTCGGGAGTGGGGGTAGAAAGCGTTCCAACCCCACGACTGTCTCCGGAAGCTCCTGATATCAGACGATCCGGTGGAAGCGAGAAAATCGATTACCAGTATGAGGGAGGGAGGCGAGATAGTCGGGGTAAAGGGTGGTGAAAGTTCGGAGAACCGCCGTGTGGAAGTGGTCGTGGTTTTCGCGCGCGGGGATAGTCCCCGTGATCATGCAGTAAACCTCGACGATGTTCCAGCCTCGCCATGCAACACTGGAGAGAAGGCGTGGAGAGAAAAGACAGGGGTGACACACCGGGTAGAAGGATGGGGATGAACCGTGAAAGCAAGACGGGTGGCGTACACGAAGCGGAAGGTGTCGATTGGGAAGGGATTGCAGGGGAAGGTGATGCGGGTAGTGATCTGGCGGAGGGTGAGGTGGTCAAGGGGACGACGAGATAAGGATCGGGGAGGAAGCTCGATGCCTCGCATCGGTACGAGCTCGAACTGGTGGACGGGCTGAGGTGGAGGGAGAGGGGATGGACTTCAGTGCCTCCTGGCCAGTGCGCTCGCAGTCTCGGCAGCAAGGTCCCCATCTTCTGGCTTAGGCGGCTCCAGATCCTTAGCTGGATCGTTCGAGATGGGCAGATCCACCTCGCTTGCGTACTCCATCTGCTGCTTGCCTACGACGATTTCTTCTCTCTTCCGCACCGCCTTAGGATCCTCCTCCGCGCCTTCCACGCGATCCGCCTTTTCTCCCAGGGTTTCCCACTCAGATTCCTCTTCTTCCACCTCATCTTCTTCTTCCTCGTCGTCGCTCTGCTCTCCCTCGCTGTGCTCGTTGTAACTTCCCTCTTCCAGGGTTTGCTCTTCTTCTTCGCTTCTCTCCTCGTCCTCTTCCTCCTCCTCCTCTAGTGTTATCGCTTCGTCTTCGGAGGCTGTTCGAGGCTGAAAGAAAGAGAGGTCGATTATCCCCCGAGGATCCAGGTATGGTTGTTGCGATGGCGGGTTTTTGTTGCCCGCTAACTTCTCGAGGCAAGCCGACCACTGGAGGTAGGGTGTCAAAGCCCATGAAAAGACATGCGGGACCGGGCTCTCGTCGCACTGCGAGATGATATCGAGAGGGAGATCGTCAACCAGCTGCGTGAGGGTAATCGTGAGTTCCTGTACGATCTGCTGTCGATAGCCGGGACGCACCGATCCGAATAGAAATCCGAGAAGGTCTCCCTCCACCTCCGTCCTCCACGCTTCGATGATCAACCACTCCACGTATGCGACCCAAGAGCGGTGCTCTACGTCCCTTGTCCAAGTCAGTTGCACTCCGACCAAACACACTGAAGGATCGACGAAGTGCTCACACCACTGATCCCACTGTCTTCGATCGAGGAGAAGGACAACAAGGGGTTGCAGACGAAAAGAGAGACGGGGGCAAAGGTCAGACTGCCAGAAGGTAGGGAAGAGAGAGGGGAGAGCGAAGGTAGAGAGCTGAGATCGGTTCATTGAGGACACTGGAAGGGGACGAGCTCAGGAAGCACCACCGTGGGCTCGTGTTGAGACGTACGAAGTCCTCCGACTTCGATACCGTCCGAAGGGACAAGATTATCGTTGCGGCGCGTAGGCCACTGATTCCACTCTGCCGCCAGCTGTTCACCCCACTCCCTTAGCGACGTCCGGATGGGCATGTGTCGCAGAGAGCTGATCGCGCTAATGTCGCTGCTGAAGATGACAATGGTGCACACGTGGCTAACTCCTGGTGCTAATAGCCGTCGAACCGCCGTCGCGTCAGCCAGTACGATCCCCTGACGATGGCCGGTAAATCGGAACTCTGCCGCTGCGTATACCCCGGTAGTGTCGAAGAACTGCGCGAGCTGTAGGATGTCCAGATTGAATCGCGGATGATGAACTTGCCGTATTACCGAGATGTCGCCACGTGGCGCCGGCATGTGATCATCGAGAGCCCGCTCAGTGAGAAAACTCATGACGATGGCGATGAGGACGGAGTAAGAGAAGCAGGAGGGGATGGGAGCGATAAGGAGTCGTCTTCCTCTTCTATAGCGAAGGAGGAAGTAGACACAGCTGGATATGGAGAGGAAGGGAGAGGACGTAGATAGGACACGTGGTAGACGATCGATCAAGCCGATCGGCTTCTCGAGACCTCCGGCACGAGGCGCATGGTGTTCACTCCGTTCGGGTCGAGTTCGATCACACGAAATCACCCGAAGAATCGTGGCGCTATCTTCCCTTGGGGAGCACATTTCCTCACCTACACTAGGTCCCCTAATTTATACTGGGGCTGTGGTCCTGCGTTCCCACTTCGGGCCTCGTAGCTACGGACTTGTCGGGCGTGGGCCAACTAAGTCATTTTCTGGCGCTTTCGGGCCAATCGGGGAAGGGACCGTTCCATCAGCTTCATATGCCGCTTGGCCTTGTCCCGAACCGTAGCCCTTGTGGGCCGTCGGTTCAATGAAGATTCATCGGGGACGCTCAGTATCGAGACACAAGCTACGCTATTGGTTCATAATTGGAAGGGGCTAAGACCCGTCGATTCATGAGGCGTTCCCCGATGGACGGCCAAGATGTGATCTACGATATCGGGCCAGGGCCTCGGATCCCGTGCCACGATGTTTCGTCGCAATGCTGTCTTTATCACTCGATTTGTGTTTTCTACCAGGCCGTTAGATTGTGACATGTAGGGTGCAGTATTCTGAATGGCGACGCCGTATACGACTAGATTCCTTAAAACTTCCCCTCTGAATTCTACCCCATTGTCGGTCAGGATTTCCTCTGTGTCCTGGTGCATCTCTCGAAACCGGTTGACGTTTCGCGCAATTTCAGCCGCCTGTCGCGTACGACACAGATATGCGTCGATCCATTTCAAAAAGTGGTCTACGAATACCACTAGGATTGAATACTCGCAGTTATTAGGTCCAGGGGGCACCACAATATTGGTAGTATTCATGCTAACTCTCTGAAAAGGTCGTTCAACTACCGTCGGTACTATCGATCTTGGTGGCTGGATCAGCTCCTTGTCAGCAGCGCAGACGTGGCAATTCGCGACGATGAATTTCACATCATCACGAATATTAGACCAATACCACTCGTTCTTGTCGATTCCCGCTTTCGTGATCCGTACGGAAAAATGGGTTGTCATTTCCTCATGCGCCGTCTTAAACCAGTCATATCTCATGAACGGGTGCGGCACTACCATCCAAATCCCGCTACCATCCGTCTTCCGTTTCTCCAACCGGCCCTCATTCCAGCGATAGTCCTGAACTTTTTCATTGGCGCTCCTCCTGTCTTCCTTATTGAAGTCTTGGAGGGGGTTTCCTACCAAGGTGGCAATTAGAGCGATGTCCGTCCATACCTCGGCCCTTCTAAACTTCCGGGTCTTTTCCAACCCTTCTGACGTTGCATCAAGAAATCGAGATTCAGTCGGGATCTTATCAGTCCGACACAGGGGGCATAACCAAGGCTTATTCCCATTTCTGTACTGGATGCATGAGCCATGGCTCGTGCGACACACTGTCGACAATCTACCCATTCCGCATACCCTTCCCCACTAGGACGCATTGAGATCGAGTAGACACGTGAGATCGCTTCACAAAAATAACAAAATTTGTCGGGCAGGGAGAGAAAAGATGAAGATGAGAGGGGAGAGAGAGGAGTTGTAGGATTACCTCGGTCACCCATTGCCAATCACCTGCTTCTTGCCACGTGGAATGATTGCCACCTCTCCGTACTTGGGTTCGTTCGCTAACTCCGGTTCCTTCCACGGAATGATTTCTTCACCCTTCGGTACCTTAGTGGGGCGATGCAGACGTGTCAACCCGTCCGCGTTGCCGTGCCTCTCTGTCTTTTGGTGGATGATGTCGAAATCGTATTCCTGTAGGCGCACAACCCACCGTCCAATCGTGCTCGTGTAATTAGTGAGCTTCTTGAGAGCCAATAATGGGTCGTGATCGGTTACAAGGAGGAACTTTTATCCGTACAAGTACGGATGGAAGTGTTGAATTCCCCATACTACAGCATAGCATTCACCTTGTGGGGCTGAGTCGTTCCTTCGTTCGTCTGACACCGTACGAGACGCGTACTCGATGACGTGCTCTCGACCGTCGTTCCCCTTCTGCGCTAGAATAGCGGAAATCGCCTCTGGCTGCCAGTCCGTGATGAGAATGAACTGCTTCGTAGGGTCCGACCTGGATCAAAATAGGTGCCGCCACAAAAGCGCTTTTGAGGGTGGCGAAGGCCTGATCACACTCTGCGTCCCAACTTAGGGGCTGGTCCGTTCACAACAGATTCGTCAGAGGTCGCGCGATCGCAGCGAAGCCTTTGATAAAGCGAAGGTCGTACGATGTCAGTCCCAGTAAAGCTCGAACCTGCATCACTGACGTGGGGACAGGAGCATCTTTCACCGCCGTGACCTTTCTTGAATCTGGTCGCCGTCCTCCACATATCACCACATAACCCAAGAACGACATTTCCGAGAGAAAAAACTCGCTCTTTTCGAGCGCGATCTTGAACCCAACATCTCTCAGAGCTCCTAGCGTCCACTCGATGTGTTGTGCATGCCCGTGATAGGTCTTCGAGTAGACGAGGATGTCGTCCATGTACACGATGACGCAAAAGTTAATCGTCCCCTGCGTGAGCCGCGTCTTGTTGACGAAGTTCTGGAATGTCACGTTCATGGCCCGTTGAAACGTGGCAAGCGCGTTGCGAATCCCCACCAGACATCGAACCCACTGCCACGTGCCTTCAAATAATACAAAGGCCGTTTTCGGTCGATCTTCCTCCTTAACCAGAATGTGATGGAAGTCGTGACGAATATCAAATTTAGTATTTACTAAAGTAATTCGCACAACCAATGCCATCCAGCAAATCATCAATCCTGGGAAGGGGGTACATATCTTTAATCGTGATGTCATTCAACTTGCGATAATCAATGCATATGCAAATTGATCCGTTCTTTTTGGCACTAATACTACAAGGAACGACCATGACCCAGTGGCGGATTTTATCCAACCATTAGCTTCGAATTCTCGAATCCGCTCGACGGCCAGTTTCCGTTCTCCCAGGGAGTATCTGTACAGTGAATCGGGGGATGGTTTCCAGTTTGAATCTCGTGTTGTATGACTAACGACAGTCCAATGTCTGTGTTCGTTAAACGTATCGCTCCTTTGTATTCTTTTAGAATTTCCGCGATTAAATGGTGGATTTCATAAAGTACGTATTGGGGCACAAGCAACTCGTACAACTCATTCCATATCCGTACATCAATGTATTTCGTGCTTACATGCTTAGTGTTTTCGGGCGGGGGCGCGGAAATAAACGAATTGTCCGACCGCCAGGAGAATACCGTGACCATCATCTGTGCATCCTGTTCCCGAATGGCCACGTGTTCTTCCGGTATTATTCCATCTCGAATGTCCTGCCAAGGTACTGATTTCGTTGCGATTTTAATTCCGAGTCCAGTTTCGAGGCGCTCAGAGGGTTCCAAAGAATTGGTATCCGCTCCCAAGCGTATCAGTCGTATCTCCTTTGCAGGTGACAAAAGAGATCGTGGAAGACTCGTAATGTCGCAGTAGTTTCTTTTGTCATTATATCGTGCAAGTAGAGGGGAGATACCTTCGTACAGTGTTCGAGGGGGTTCCAAAGAATCAACCATCCTCGAAATCTGCACGAGGGGTTCGCCCATAATCATGGCTTGCGTTCTCTGTAAACTCTGATCGGTCAGGCTTAGCGACCTTGTATTTGCTCATTGCAACGGGTTATAGATACGCTGCTGTGCCATTTCCAAGATCACTGGATCGTCCTCGTCACTGTTGTCCGTCTCTTTTGACGGAATTATCCCAGATGATCACGCGGAGGGTTCCCGCCAATATGGGAGAAACTCGCGGAGTCACGTTAGTGGAGGTACGAAGGGTCAATCTCATCGATACAACATAAGGTTTTCCTCTTGTATTTCGGAGGACAATCGATCGTCTCTCGAAATCCAGATTGGCTCGTAGGGCCACAAGAGCGGGAAGACCGAAAAGAACGTCGTAAGTGTTTACTTCTAAGACTACGACATCTCCCAAAGCATGTACCTTCCCTAATCGAAAAGCAACATTGGTCATTCGTCCCACCGTTTTAATCTTCTCCTCATCTTCTGAAACGAGTTGATCGTTTTCCGTAAGCATGATTAGATCGTTCTTCCTTCCTGCCCTTTCAACTACCCGTAACGAGATAGCTAGGACAGCGGCTCCTGAATCGATAATGGCATTGTACGGGATTCCCCATATATCGATATCGCATTCAGCGGATTTCCATGGGATCGGTTTAATCCGTAGGAAGTGATCATCCTTCTGGATCAATCCTAACCGTATTGGGTCTGAAGCTCCGGCAACTTTTTCATTTTGTGCTGGACTTTTTGCTTCGTGTTCACTGTTCGGGCGAAACGATTCGCAATGTTGTAGCATCCGTTCATTGGTTTGTTCTAATATCGAAAATAATTGTCCAATCGGAAGAGGAATCTGATGATCCAAGGCTCGAACGATGTTCAAAACATCGATTTCCCCAGTGACGAAGGTGGGTCCTCCCGACTCCATTTCTCCTGGAGACGGTCATCATTCCGCCACTTCTCTTTGTTCTGGCACGGGTCTAATCATTCCAATCATCCCAAGCCGTGGGTAGCCGAGCGTTACATACTGATCCAACGGGATTAGTTCAGCGGCTTCCTCCATCGTAGCTAATGTGCTTCCGCCTACTTCCATTTCTTCCATCAATGCCCCTACTCGTCCGGGTCCGTTGGCGATCGGGGCCGCTGCTACTGGTGCGGCTCCGACTCGTTGCTGCGGGGGTCAATGAGGGCAATCTCGGGCTATATGCCCTGGTTGGTGACACGTGTAAAGGACGTTCAGATTGTCAGGGATCCCTGCGGGAGGGGGTGCCGGAGTTAATCCGTGTTGAATCGGGGTGGCATGCACCGCTATTGGACGCACCGACCTCATCGTCGCCTCTATTCGAGCGTTGTGTTTCCGTTGTTCCTTTTTGCTTTCCTGAATCAGAGTGACCAATGTCTTGGTTAGTTCTAATAGGGCGGCTGATTCGTTTGGTCGTGCGGGGTTTTTGACCGGTGGTGGGGTTGCAATCATCATGGGGA